CTTTGATACCATTTTAGTATCAGCTAATAGTCGATTAGTATGCCGACCTTCGATCATACTTGGAAATAACTTTTCAGTTTTATAATATATATGTAGTAACTACCTACTACAGTCCTAATTAGCATTATAATATTAAACTGTACCCGTTTTGTTACCGCCTGTATAATAATGTACTTATCTATTACGAAAATCTATATAGATATATTATGCAATAAATAAGAAATGCTAATCTCATCTGCTTATATAAATATTTGGTAGAGATAAGAGACATCATCGTTGAATCGAAACCAGAACAATTTTATAAACAAAGTTTACACATTATTTTCTTTGTATTTAGACGACGGGGAATGCAATGAGAAGGAATTATTTGAAAAATCATTCACCAAAAGAGTAAACAGACCTTCGTAAATAACTCCAATTTAGAAAGTAGGAACATAACACAAAATATAACAAAAAAATGTATATTGGTACCTGAATACATATTTTTGTAAAAATGAATTAATTTAAACTTTAAACTTGCGAAATTATTCCTATAAAACTTAGAGATATCGCATGTGTCAATTGTGTTGTCGTATATGCTATCTTATGCCGTAATGGACCTTTTATGTATAGATTATTATAGGAAAAAATAAGAGATTAAAGTTGTACTTTATATGATTCATATTGTCGATTCAATTTGTATTCGCCGAAGGCGCCGGTGAAACTGTATTTAGTCAGATAGTACGCGTTTCCGGACCTAGTTCTGCTTGAAACAATTCCAGCAGCCATTTTAATCTTCTGTTCTTTTACATACATTTTATACAGAAATATTTCTAAACTTCAAAAGTTTTCAAAAAACAATAAAAACAACATCATGACAATATTCATGATGTTATTTTTTTTTGTTTTGTTAAGCCTTGTTGGTTATAAACCTAACGGTCAAAAGGATCTCCTATTAGTCAAGTCAGAGGTATTATGTTAATCATAAATTTTTATAGTGATAGTAAGAATTATCTATATTACCTCATATTTTTTTATAATACCAGATACTATTATCTAAGTTTTTGACAGTGGGGTATAATGGTACCTAAATACAATTTATTTGGTTAGAAACATTAAAATATAACAAAACCCTTATTTATTATGTAAGTAATTACTAATAAATAATCTGTTAAACTATATTACCTACACCTATTTTTCTTCTTCTTCGTGTGTCAAATTATATCCGAAAAATACTGGAGAATTAATGATTATATTCAGAAATAGTGAAAATCTTAGTTAGTATATTATAGTATTCATCGATCTGTAAATAAATACTATAGACATGCCTTTTCGATATAAGACTACCATCACCAGAGTAAAGTGGTGATGTTTTTTGGAAGTAAGAAAGGTTAAATTACTAATGATAATTTATTAATTTCTTATATAGTCTGTAAGTGATATTATTGTTTACGTCTTTACTAATAAAATCCGATAAATATACTTTCAACAGCAACTAAACTTAAAATATAAATAACTTATGAATGCAACGGTATTTCCGTTGTTACAAAAGAATACATATAAGGAAAACTATAATATATAAGTCCCTATATCAAGTCATTTGAATAGCGTAGATACAAGTGTTGTTATATTATGTCGAAAGAACCATACCATGTAATGGAGCGAACGATAATGGTTTTAATCTCAATCATTATAAAACAAGTGTATTAAAATATAACCTATTAGATTAGTGTCTACAGCACTGAGTTTTAATATATTTTCCTTAAGATATTCTATTTAAAAAATATTCTATATTAGTATTATTTTTCCCTCACAATGCAAGGCCAACCATGAGCCGGTTATAGCCTTATGAAAACATGCAGAAAGGTTTTTTTACTTGATCTTAATGATGGCTTGAGTCCATTCATGGTATTTGTAATAGTGAACTATTTGTTCATGCCAAAGGAAAGGAGGTAATACCCATACTAATGTTATAAACTAGCTTCTCGCCCCGGTTTCGCCCGTATGTAGATACATGTATTATATATATAAACCTTCCTCTTGAATCACTCAATGTATTAACCATAACCGCTACAAAATCCGTTGCGTAGTTTTAAAGCTTTAAGCATACATAGGGACAGGCAGCGATAGTGACTTTGTTTTATACTATGTAATAATAATGATAATAATGACCAGAGGGAAGGTATATTATAAGATCAAGTATGCGAAGAAATCAGGTAACAAATGATGATGCTAATGTGTGTAACATTAGCATAATGTTACACACATTAGCATCATCATTTGTTACCTGATTTCTTTTCATAAAAAAAACGGGATTGAAATGAAATTTAACTTTACGATAGATTGTATTACAAGGATGGACGTACAGTATCTTTTATCTCAAAAAAGTAAACCATAGACGTCGTAAACAGCTGTACGATTATAAATTTGTCTGTTTATGCAGAAATATTATAAAAAAATATTATTCTATTTAGTAAATATATTCTAAATGAAGTTTTTAAGTGATTGGTTTCATAACGTGTATTATTTTTTAAGGCCAACAACTTTCACTGTTGGTTAAGTAATTTAGTGGAATCACATATTGATAACGAAATGTTTGGTTTGTTTAAGTTCCTGTTATTATTAATTTCCCAAGTATTTCTTATTCATAATTATCAGTAATGTAATTAAATAAACTTACAGTCATGTTTGTACAAAGAAAACAATCCTACAACGAGAGTAAAAGAGTAAAAAGAAGCGGTACATTTTAGAAAGTTCCACAAAAGAGTGAACCACCACACAATACAAATAATTGAAAGTACATGTGTAGTAAGTTTATATCTTATGCAATACAGTAAGTTTAATTCTTCAAATTGACATATGGTAAAATCCACTTTATTACAACTTGGGTGGTTTAGCAGTTAATCATAGACCCTTAGTTACGATGGTCGAAGGATCGATAATTACTATAGGATACAGTCATGTTTATATTTGTCTGGGGTTTACCATGACTATTTATGTATATAAAACAAATAATTGAAAATATCACGCCAATTATTTAATACTATAATAGTGCTTTATAATTATATATAATGTTTACAAGTAAATTGTAATACGAATGTATACCTACACTCAGAAAATCTTAGTTAACGTAGTTTTGTGAAATGTTATTATCATGATTAAGGTTTATGAGTTCTAACCGGCGTATAAATAGGTATACTAATTTCTTGGAAGTATGTTAATTTCGGCAACACGGTCAACTAACGGGTGTTTACTAACAATAACGGACAACGACTAGACTTCACTAATGTAGCATGCTGCACGCGCGCCTCAAAGTGCATGGAAAATATTGTTTACAGAATTATATTTATAGAGTAAGCAGATGATAGACAAGAAAAAGCCCGGTAATGCTAGAAGCACATGTTGGAGATTACCTACTTGAGATATATATCTACAGCGTCATATGGGAATTCACTCACATGAAAATTATCACAAAAAATGTTTATGTATATCCTATATTTACACCCATTCAGATTAGATTTTAAAACGATTTTTGGCTGTCTGTTACGCAAAGAACATTTAACAGAGAATTATAAAGTCGTACCTCTATACAACAGCTGAACCTTCTAAATCGCTTGAATTCTAAGGATAATTTTGTTTTGAATAATGAATTATACTAGGGAAATTACCGAGTCCAAAGTTACCTTAATCTTTATGGTATCTAAAGATACTTTACGGGTGTGTCAGTACAATTTGTCGTGATATCTGTAGGAAATTCAAGTTTCACACACCGGCGTTTTACTGTATGATATACAAGACAGATTGTAAACTTACATGCAATTCAAATCATATAGAAATTACTCATATGTTGGTTAACTCCAACTGTAATAAATGATTTATATAATAATGGTATGAATCCACACTAATTTACGTCTTCAAATTTATAGTTATCGGATATACACTAGCAAACAATATAATATCACTGGGATAAAAATGTATTAAATATAGGACATCGATCGTTTATCTGTGTCAATACCATTCAGCTAGGTCAAAGTTATTTAATATCGGCCTACTGAACATTCTATGCTCTTCGCAAAACTTTAACATTTATAATTATACTACCTATTTTAATTACACATGTTTAAGGTATGTATATGAAAAACTCATTGATTTCACTTTTCTGATATTATTGACTGCATCGTGGGTAGATCTGTAGATACGAAGTTTAACTTCGCCGTATTCTTTCACATTCTTTCAGGTAGGTATGCATATTCATGATTGACGTAATTTATCATGACTCATTGAATGAGTTATTTAGTGAAGCATTTTATGATTAAATGAGTATAGGTATTTTCACGCTTTAAATTAGTGTTAGATAGATATCCATCTATATAGATCACGCATTACTCATCATTAGACTGGTTGGTCTACTTATATTACAATTCTAACATATTTAACAATTAGGTAAGTATTCCGTTTTGCATTTTTAAGAGTAACGATACAAGATTGTGTATGATTTAAAATTTCAGAAACTTTGTTTTTTCAGTACCTCCTTAATTATGAATTAGCTATTTTAAATGCAACACAGCTCATAGATCACAGATTTTAATTTATATCACATTATAGAAAATGTCCTATGCAAAATTAATGTGTACAGTACGAGTTGAGCCCGATTGTAGGTCGTCACGTCACGATATTGAACGCAGCTTTCTGCGACCGAAACGACGCGACTGCGGCAGCCAACTGGCGTTTTGCCTACTCGGTACGCTTGTGTACAACAAACAGACCATGCATATTTATTATTAACCTTCCCTATTACATATATTATACGGCTTATTTTGCAATGAAATATATTAACATCAACGAGAAGAGAGAATAAATCGTACGATACAGGTATAAAGTTCAATTCACAACCTATATGACATACATGAGCCCATTTCGCGTACTTAAAGGATAATTTTACAGAAAATATATAAGAAATATTTTATCGGAATTTATATTTAGATTTTTACGTATACTTAAAAAAATATGGTGATTCTTACCATGGTTTACTCTTGCTCCTGTGCCGTTTTAAATCGGCGTTTTGTAGTCACACCCGTCACGCAGCACGTTTAGGCAAACAACCGCGCAGATCACTGGGTGCGCGACGTGTGTATCGTATACGCGCGCGCTTGTTTTCTCAGCCCCAACTGATAAAATACAGTCCTAGCTTTGGATATCAACTTGATTACCACATCGGTACCACATAGGTAGATATACAAAGATTTGGAGCGAATCCGAGTGTTAACCAAATTAATATCTTATCTTTACTTATAAATAAATTTATATTGTAACCGCATTGTTTATAGGTAATCTTATTATTTAGCGCCAAGTGTATCCGCAAACTGGGTAGGTAGGTCTTATCTGATTTCAATTATTATTTTTACATTTATAGATATTGATATATTTATACTTCTTGGATCATCCAGCAAACGGTTGCACCATTCCACTATTATTAATAAAGAAATGTGCATGATGTTTGTATTTTATATCAGAAGCATAATATTATAAGACAATAGTTCTATCTGCTAAATGTTATCCATATATCTACTTATCTAACTAATAGAAGGTCATTATTACTACATTCGTTAGTTATTATTACGTTATTAACTATGACAGATATTATTTTACATACGTATTTAATTTAACTAATACCTACAGGCAAAAGTGATATGATTTCGCGCCTTAACTGCAGTTTATTATAGATTATGATGTAGAGGTATATAGATAGGTACCTAGCGACGTTTATAGGCTATTTTTGATTGCGAAAAAGTTGTGGGGGCGAACCCCTAGTTAGGGGGTGAGGGAAGATGTATTTTTTTAATAAAACTTTTCTATAGACCAAGTTGACCTAAAATCAATAATTAGCATTATATCTATGTATACTTGATTTTTCATATTGAAAAAAAAAAACTGAGTGGATATGAAACATAATTTAGATGTTGACAAAATCAACATTCGCACCGGTGATGCCAATGGTAAAAGTTAGTAAATAATATCATTACCTATAGACTGCAACAGCTGGGCCTATTAATATTATATATTATAACTATTCAACTTTTTTTTGAGACATATAACGTTGCGCCGTCAACGTGCCTAAGTATGTGATGATGGAGACACAAATGTATTATAAACTTCATATTATCACAACCAGAGACCAATAAATAATGGAGTAGTTACAAAGCATACATTTATACTTTCTATCATGTTTATCTTGGGTCAAACAGTTCAGGAGCTTTATACGCGTTAACGCATTAGGTATTGTTGAACCCAAGATCCCAAATCATCTTTGTATACGGGTAGGTATACATTACGATAAGGTTTTATTTCTGTTTAATTAAATTCTTTGTTTATATTTTCTTCATTAGGTATTGAGAGATTATCTGTAGAGGTCCATTTGAGGAAAGTTGTTACAGTTTCTTTATTAGACAAGATTTTAGGCAAGCGCCACTAACCCACGGATACACAGTATGTTATGTATAATAATATATATAATAATACTTATCTATTAAGGCTACTCATGCAAAACTACCTCCAGTTATCACTTTTATATGATTCATCTGAAATAGATAAGGTAATGCAAAAATACATAAAACTACGTTTTTTATCTAAGTAGATTTATCACTACAATATATTGTTTTCTAAAGCTATTGCACTCCAGTAATGGACTATCAACACATTATTCTGAAAACTCATCTACTCCAATCTGACCGACAGCAAAATTTACATGTTTATAAATTTCAATCTGGTCCTACAGTAATAGAAACCCTTTGATACAAACCAATTCAAGCTCTTATAGAGTCAATTGTCAAAATTTCAAGTCCCGTATATATAATAGAATTGAATGAACGTGAGTATATAGTATAGTAGTAATAATTACTCTCTTCAAAACGAAATCGTTTTGGAGAGAGTAATTATTATTAATAGAGTAAATATTATTAATAGGTAATTGATATAGTCGAAATGTGAACACTATTACACAACTACAGTATGTGTCAATTAAATTACTTTAGCATCAACACTACCTTATAAAAATAAGTATATTTTAATAGCACATGAAGAATTTAGTAATATCCGTCTATTCTTTGTTTTCATGCCGAGTTGAATTAATTATATATACATTTTATTAGAATTACCTAAATGTTCATAAAATAGTACTACGCAATGTTATTTACATCGTATTAATTGGTAATATTTTTCGCCAGGCGTTTATTGTTATACGACAGTGCATAATACACCTAAAATGTATTATACTTATTTTGATTTATTACTTACTGTGCCTTTATATTTAGTAGTTGTATTATTCATCCGAAAGGATAAAGTTCTAGAATTTGACTTTCTTATCTACTATCTGAATCTACATTACCTACATACGAAAGAACGATGGAATTATAAATGTCATTATTTAATTTTTAATCAATTATAGATTTCATAGAAATGTAATATACCTTAATAAATAGCAAGGAAGTGTAATTGATCCTATTCCTATATTATGTACCTTATCTACTTATTACACTACTTAATATCTGCAGATTAATATTTTAAAAAAATCGATAAATATACTATGGGTACTATCTTGACGAGGGAAAAAAATCATAATTTATGTCACTTTTTTCTGTATCTTTATATTATATGCGCTATCTTTTAAATTAGGATTTCACTTATGTATTGTATGTTATTTGTTTCATTGCAATACACGAAAAAACGAATAAAAGTTCACTCCGAGTATATCCTGGGCACACACGACGCATGACTAATTTATATAGTATGATATACTAGCTGAGCCCGCGGTTTCACTCGCGTGAAATTTCAATAAAAAATATAGTTTGTGTTATTCTGATGCTTAAGCTATATTATAGAAAAGTTTCATCAAAATCCGTTCATGACAATTGTTAGTAACAACATTACAAACACAAGCAAACATACTTAAATTGGCAGAATTGTGCAAATTAGTTTACAAATACATTTGTTTAAATACAAAATGCAAATATTATTGCATGTCTCATTTCTAATGCAGAATAAAAATAGTTTTTCATTTTGTATATATGTCAAATATAGCCTCGGTGGTCTAGCGGTTTACCACATTGACTTATCCAATCCAATGGTCGCGGGTCGTTTCTTAGCTCGGTACAACATTTGTATTCATGAGTATGATTGTATCAAATATGTGTTATGTAGGTACCTATAGGTATTTATATCATTTATCTAGTACCCATAACAACACTTTGCTTAGTTTGGGTATATAATATTATCTTATCTGTGGCTTGGGACTAGACAGCGCTGTGTCAGCTTTCCTTAGTTATTATTATTATATTTAAAATAGGTATATGCTATGGCAAAGAAAAGCGTCAAATAAGGCTTTGCGGCGGTTTCAAGGCGTCATCAGTCGTGGCGATTATAAAGACTTTCGATGTTTGAAATGGCAGCGAGGCGTCGTCGCAGAGCTTATGAAGGTGTCGCGGCGCTTTTAATCGTATTGCGGCTATAGCGTCAAGAGTTCCTAAAGCCGTGTCAGCGCTTATAAAGGCGCAGTGGTGATTATAAGGTGCTGCTTTCGCGCTTATAAGCAACATCGCGATTTTATATCTCCTAGAGGCTTTTCTAAAGCAGCGCTTTTAAAAGCACCGCGGTCCTTATTAAGTTTTTTTTATTGGGTTGTTTGGGCTATTGTCAGATGATTGTAGCACTGCGACCTACATAGATCTATTATGCTCGTCCTTTTTCAAAGTTCGCTACCTAGACCCGTCAGGGACAAGAATTGAAGGATATTCTTAGGAGCGATGGTTTTTATCTCCTCGGGAAAGAGTGTAAACTTTCCAATGGAGATATTTCGTTTGTGCATGAGTGGGCTACCACCACATAGGATGTCAAGCGGCGTTTCCTCTTCAGTTTGGCAGAATCCGCAGATTCTTGTCGTGCCTAGTTTAGCCATATGCTTGTTTAATTTGCAGTGAACTGTGAGGGCCCTAGCCATCATGCATATGTTGTTTTTACTCAATAGCAGTAGTCTATTGGAGTATTTGTTCGAGTAGGATATTAGGGCTTTTGAATGTGTTAATCCTGGCATTTCTTGCCAGTGATTCAGTGCTTCTCATTTGGCTATTAATTTGAGATGTCCCAGTTTTAGGCTTTTTCATTGCCTTCGATATTTGATTGCCCGGGGACCCATCTCAGTATAATATTATTTCTGCTTCCTACTTCATTTAGTAGTAGGATACAGTTTCTAATAAGTTTAGAACGGATTTCGTTCGAGTTGAGTGCTAGTAGAGCAGCTTGACTGTCCGAATAAATGTATATGTTCTGATTGATGTAGTTAAGGTTTAGGATTACTTCCAAACATCTAATTAAGGCGTAAGTCTCTGCCTGAAAGATTGAGGCGTATTTTTCTAAGCCTATGTAGTTGCAGATTTTGGGTTTTACACCGGATATTCCATATCCTACATCATCTCCTATTTTGTACCCGTCTGTAAACCAACTAGGTCCTGCTCTGAGTGAGTCGGTGTATGGTTATTTTGCCATTCGTCTCTTCCAGATATTTCGATTTTGTAATATTGTACAAAGTTACACTCTGGTGCCATGTTGTCTTCAGGCATTCCCAGAATGGGATCACTCATTATCGAGTCTTGTATAGTTTTTATGGCCAGGGAATGCCAAGATATCCTCCTTTGAGAACTTATTCTGAGCATATTGGCTGTCGCCTTTTCCTGTATAAATAAAGGAAGGAGCGTCAAGTCCAATAATGCGTCTAGAGCTGCTCCTGGCGTGGTGCTCATGGCTCCTGTAATAATCAGACAAGCAATTCTCTGTAGGCTGTTTAGCTTGGTGGCAGCTGTGGATTGGAGGGTTTTCCGCCACCAGATTGCGCAGGCATAGGTAGTAAGTGGTCTCACCACTGCTGTGTAAAGCCATAGGGCAATTTTGGGGTTAATTCCCCATCTGGGCCCCGCTACCCGTAGCAGACGCTTATTCCCAGAGATGTTTTCGCTTATTTTGTTGTTTTTGAGTTATGTTGTCTATGTGTGTGTTCCATGTCAGTTTTTGGTCGAACGTTACGCCCAGGTACTTGACTTCTTAGGAGCACTTTAATATTCTTCCATTTACTTTAGGCATGACAAGTTTGTCAAGTTTCTTCCTTTTTGTAAACGGAACAATTACTGTTTTATCAGAATTTACTGATAGTTCATTTTCCTTACACCATTTAACTATGATGTTTAGTGCTCTTTGGATGCGGTCTGATATGGTTGTTGCACAGAACCCTCTGACCATGACTACTATATCGTCTGCGTAGCCTTGTACCTCAAATTGGTTTTTGGTCATAACATCTAAGAGCTGGTCTACCGTTAGTAGCCACAGCAGTGGCGATAAAACGCCTCCTTGAGTGCATCCCTTGATAGGTCGGATTTCTAACGTACTGTTATGAAGAGTAGTTTTAATGGTTCGATTTGAGAGCATTGCTTTGATCCATTTAATGGTGGTTTCATCCACTTTCTTGCGGATAAGTCCCTGTGAGATGGTCTCTATGGACGTATTATCAAAAGCACCCTCAATGTCGAGAAATGCACATAGAGCTATTTGTTTATCCTCAAAGGCCTTCTCGACCTTGTCGATGAGTTCGAGCAAGGCGGTCTCTGTGGAATGTCCCTTGCGGTAGGCATGTTGATTCCTGTGCAGGGGAGCATTTTCGGGGATTGTAGCTCTTTATTAAGTTAACGCGGTGCTTTTAATTGCACGGCTGACTATTAAGGCTGACAAATAGACTCGTCTACCCAGCCCTCCGTCTGCGCTTGGATGGAAAGTTGGCTATAAATATGAGTCATGGACATTACAAAATAAATTTATGTTACGTTGTGTTTCCTGGCATAGGCATAACTATCATTACTATTGGAGTTCACTTTTTTTTCAGAATTAAGTAATGTTATATTATCATTGTTTTAGGTATTTAAAAATCTTCAAAAAGTATTTTATATTTTGAAAATACAAAATAAGTTTATAAATATGGTTCTAAAAAGTATCTATCTGAAATAAAATACAAAATGTATTACAATTACATTAAAAAAATATTTAAATAAAAAATGGAAATAGGTACTTTGTATTTTGCTTTACGTTATATTTATACACTACTTATTATTATTTTTAAAATCTCATCTGCAAATAGGTAGGAAAATAAATATCCTACGCATCTTCATTATTATTACTACATATATTATCTACACATAGACGATTTAATTATTTTCTAAAGTATTTTTAAGGGACTTGACTACATTTAGAATGAATTTAAAAAAAGTAGCTTTATGGGTTCTTCCAAGGTAACTACCAAGTAGTTCGTCTAGTTTTGTGCTGCAGATGGCAGATGGCAGTACTAGTATCTGACTGTCACTAAAATTTTGTAGTAAACATTATTTGACATATTAATTATAATTTAGAATACTATTTATATTATGGTAATTTGAGTCAATCATTATTATTTTAATAAGTTATTTGAGTAGTCTTTTTTCTCTTGTTCTTCGTGTATTAAGCGTATAACGAAACGTGAGTAGTCGGCCATGTTTAGATACATCACGTCGTATAGTAAACGTCAACCATTCATTCATTTTACATTTTTCTAAAAATATCATAATATTTGGCAGTGTATATAATCAATTTGTTTTTGGTTTGGGATTTGGTTAAATGTCAATATGAATCGAACCGAAGGCTTGGTACAACGAAGAAACATTATAAAGGACAGTAATTCTGACGGAGCCTTAAAGGAAAACCACGACGATGATAAGAAAAACGATAAAAATTATGATGACGGAGATTCAAAAGAGACGAGATTGACTCTAATGGAAGAAGTATTACTTTTAGGATTAAAAGATAAGGAGGTTGGTGTCCCCGTAATTCTAATAAATACAGTACATTGTGGTAAAATTTGATTTCTAAACTACCAAAATATTTGGTGATTTAAAATGTTTATTTCAGGGTTACACTTCTTTTTGGAACGACTGTATATCCAGTGGTTTAAGAGGATGCATTTTAATAGAATTGGGTTTACGTGGACGTGTAGAGTTAGAAAGGGCAGGCATGAGAAGAAAAGGATTATTATCTAGAAAAGTCATTGTAAAATCAGGTGAGAGCATTTATTGACACAAAATTTACCTAGGTATTTTAGGTATATAAATAAAACTTGTGTATAAAAGTACCTTCACATGTGTTGTGTTTTAGATAATATAAAACTATCACCAATTTCTCAAAGTTAAAAAGAGAAAGTTAGATAACTAATTATTATATTTATAACATAATTCAGAATTGTTTGACTCTTGCGAAGTGTGTGATTTGAACTATTGGTATATATGGAGTGTAAAAAATCCTAAAATTTAGTACACTATTCAATATTTTATTCTATACTCAATTATCTTATTACTTTGTTAATATACTTTGTTTTCATAATGTAGTCATTTTCTCCATTAAATACAATTAACCTAATCCTTCCAGATCTGGTAAGAAATAGAAACTTTAGGTACAATTGGAGCTATAATACTCTTAATACATTGAAATATTTGCTACTTCTGTTAAGTGTTATACACTATCCACATATTCATTTATAAAATACCTATACCATATTTTTCTTCTACTGCAAAAGACCTAAATAACAACTATTTATGAACTTCCAAAGAATATAATTTCTCTCATATTCTTATATATTATAATAATAATTTAAAATATGTAAGTAACTATTACACTATTGTTATCTGATTTTAGTAGGTATTGTCTAGATTAAAATAAATATCTTCTTTCCATCCTCATGACAAAAAACAAAGCATGTTACCACTGAAAGTTAAGATATTAAAAATGATTCAGTATTGAAAAATAATGGCCATTTATCAGAGATGAGGCCCAGTAAATATATAATCTTTACCAGGCATCATATTGTCAAAGATTTGGACAATTACTCGATTACAAATTATATTTGAGTGACAACATACAATTATGTCACTATTAAAATTTCAACAAATATCATTATATTCTATTTCATTATTTCTAGTCAATGAATCAAAGTTTGTTTAACAAAAAGAGTTTTGTTAAACACACAAATTTTAGTAACGGCTGATTCAAATTGAATTACTTTTTACAATATTATTTTAGTTTCATTATTCTTCAATCGGAAGACTATGGGGCATATAACATCACACAATGAATAATATATAGTAATAACACTAGTGTATGACTGTATGTACATAAATTTGGCAAATATATTGTGGAAACTATAAGTTTTAAAACAAATAATTTAAAATAAAAAAAATATGATTAAAGAAATCAGTATCTCAGGTACAACACTACCTACTCCGCTACAGCTATGTAACATTATTTGAAAATTAGACATTTACCTTATATTTAAACTTTAAAAGGTCAATTGGCATTTATGTCATTATGATTGTATTTATTTCATCAAAAGATTGCCTGCAGTTACATGTGAATGTGATATGTACATACAGTGGTTCTCACCTTGAATCTATTACTTATTTGAAAATGATATGACCTTGGCCTAAAGATTCTCTGCTTTGGACATTAATACATGTTCTAAGTTTTAATCTGAGTGGTGCAAACTTTAAATTTATGACTTTTTGTTCATCCATGGGCCAGTTTTATATAAATTGTTTAGGTTTGTGGTATCTTTTATCTATCATATCTGTAAAAGAAAGCTTTTCTATTTTTTAATACTTCTGCAGACAGATTTGTTGAAAAGTGTGGTGTGGGTGACATTGTATTCTATAATGTTCATAGTGATCCTTATTTGTATATACTAATATCATCACCAGTTTCCATCAACTTCTTTTAGTTACTCTCAGTAGTATATTCAAATTTCTCTAAATGAGTAATACTAATGAAGTAATCTGGGTGTCTGTTGATTCTAAAATGTTAATAGATTTCTAGACATGGTATAATTAGAATAATACTCTTTCTTTAATTGCATTTAAACTTTATGTTTATTTTCAGATACACCACCAGTAGGTGATGTGCTTTTAGACGAGGCCTTGAAGCATATGAAAGAAACTGATCCCCCAGAGACTGTTCAAAGTTGGATAGAATATTTAAGTGGTATGTCATTCTGGACATTTTATTAGATACTCTTAAATGTCCTTAGTTTCATTAGGTATTACAAATTTTAATTTATTTTATAATTGTTCGCAACCAGATTAAAAAAGGTGCTTAATGTGTCTTTTTGTTATGTGTATATGCAACACAGTATTTCCATCCATTTTTTATTGTTCGGAACTAAATACATGATTCTTGTGTAATCAAGAGTTTTGCACTTGTGTTGATTTCGTGTCTATTTTGTATTTGATTTTTAGGAAGAAAATCTTAATTTACAGAAATTGCTATATTACGCTCAATAATAACTTAATTTATTTCAGGCGAAACTTGGAATCCTATGAAGCTAAAATATCAATTGAAAAATGTTAGAGAAAGGCTCGCTAAAAATCTTGTTGAAAAAGGTGTCCTTACAACAGAGAAACAGAATTTTCTTTTATTTGATATGACTACACATCCCCTTACTGACAATGTGGTGAAATGTCGGCTAGTTAAAAAGGTATGTATTTTTTTTTATTTAGTATAATATTAAAGATCCTGTCAAAGCAGTAGAACCAGCTTGGCGAAAAATACTGTATTTAGCCACAAAACAATGTTACAATGAACTTTCGTTTTGCTTTACATAAGTGATTTTGGAATGGGTTGCGGGTAAAAGAAATACAATTATTAATTGGGCGAATATACCACAATTTACTGTGATTTGTTTTTAAATGCACATACTTAGGTCGTAGTTTTAATCTTTAGAGGGACCTAAGTACTCCTCATCTCACAAAGGGATCGTTTTTTCGAAAAATTTGTGTAACACGCTGTACTACAGTTTATATTGTAATTATTCTTCAACAAACGAGGATCTAGAGTATCACGAATAATAATAACGGTAATGAACCTTGTCATTGTTTTTGAGTTTACCTCCGAGAATTTTTGCACTTATGTCGGTTTTATAGCTAATGCACTATAAATGTTAGATATACCTGCATTAAATTATATATTTTAGGTAATGCGCTGTTTATCTTAGTACTACTTTTTAAACGTTTGGTCATTATATTTATTTTATCATTATTCAGATAGATAAGATAAAATAATACTGTTTAGATAATGTTAACTGTACTCATTTAGTATAAATTTAACTTATATAATAAAAATATGCGGCAATTTGCATTTGTATAGCAAGACAATGTTAATAGTCGTATATAATGTTTTATATGGAAATTATACAAAAATCCATGCATTTAAGAAAAAGCAGAGGAAAGCACTTCTTCAGACCGATACTCTGGTATAAAAGATCAGTGTTATTAATTGTTCAATATTCTAATACCGACTACCGTTTTTATAACATATGCAGACATCTAGTTTAATACTCGACGTGGAATAAAAAAGAGACTCATTTTTGACACTATTTACTTGCCACTAACGGAAACTGGCTTTAGAATAATGAGGACTGTGTACATAAACTCAGAAAGATATCACCCGGTGGGAAACGCTTTCTTGGGCACTTAACTTGACAACAATGTCCATCATGTTGGTTTTTATATGTGGAATTTACAGCATTCACCATCAATTGAGTTGTCATCGAATCGGCTGTCACACAATTTAATACGACCGCATAATTATGTAATAACAATATATTATTGTTATTTATTTTCACTTTTGTAATAATATAAAATATTTTAAAGTCCATTATTTATAAATAGTACGTGACATCTAAAGCAGTATAGTCAATTTCCTTTGCAATTCGACACTTCGCACAACAATACATTCTTTATAATGATATTGATTACTACATGCCGACTACTCTCATACCAGAATTAATATTGATGCTTGCCGGAAATAATAAAGAATAAATATTTTACTTTGTATGTTGTAAAATTCGTATAATAACAATAATGAGCTTATTTTCTCACACAATGGTAACAGTTTTTCACAAATACGAAATGAGATTGAACTGTTACATTAGGGAGGCACGAGGTCTGGAAACTACATAAGAAATCTGATGAGCTTGTTTTTTTTTTTCTTTTAAAGCTTACGGTACGAGAAGCCATACTTAAATATATCACACTAGCTATTTGTTTCGATATTCTTAGCGACTTTGTCTACCTTTTTGGTATAAAAGACAGCCTATCTCATTTCTCATGATATAATCTAATCTATCTTAATGCCAAATTTCATTAAGATCAGTCTTTTAGATGTGAAAAAGTACCAAACAGACAGATTTATAATAATAGTTAAGTTGCCCTGACCCACGGGATTTTAACATCCATTCATACTACATTATGTATAATTAATTATATTATATATATTTAATTTATTATTATCTATTTATAGGTTCAGGAAGCAGCTCTGCGCCGCTCAATAACCGACGTAGCTCACGCTGATAAGCGTTCGCTGGCGTTATTGATGCTCGCCCACTCTGCGGATGTCTTAGAAAACGCATTCGCCCCATTATCTGACGACGATTACGAGTTAGCAACGCGGCGCGTCCGTGCACTCCTCGATCTAGACTTTGAAGCTGAGGCCATGAGGCCCGACGCATGCGAAATCATGTGGGCGGTATTCGCAGCGTTCACTAAATAGCGGTAAAGTGCACTATTACAATAACCAGGATTACACAAAATTAATAATCAGATGTTAATATATGGTCTGGTTTTACAATCACTAGATAGGCCAACAGTAAATTCAATCAGTTATTTAACTATGGGGTAACAATGGCAGCGACAACACTAGACAGTGAATAATAATTACGAATATGCGTTGGTAAAAATATTTTTTTACAAACATTTGCCACTAGATTTGCTAAAAATTGTCTTATTTAATCAGTATTACAATTGTCTTCGTATTTTGTTACCCATTTCTTTATGATATGTTATGTTGGATATGAGTTATAAATAAAATAGTATAATTTTTCGGAACAGAATTTTGTTAACACTTAATTTGTTTTATGTGAACTGCTACGCCTTTCGCGCCAATTTACGCCAATCGTGGTGCGTTTAGATTTTTAATATACACAGCTATTGTGTGATTTTTAACGGTTATACTATTTTTTTGTTACTGGAATACACAAAGTTTTGTATTATTATACTTTTTATGTAAATTTTTCGTTGGGTAATATTGTAAGGTTACGTCATAGTATGCTGCCTAAACTAGATTTCGTTCAAATTTGCGTATGATTTAACATGTATGAAATATAAATTTTAACAGGTTTTTATTGTGTAAACAAATTATAGTGTGCACTTGTAAATTATTTTTATTTTTTAGTTATATTACTGAAAACGGTGGAAACTATACTTGCGATTAATATGTGGTCCTTGATAGCGAAATTGTAAATCTTTATTATTATAATTATTATGTACTATGTCTTAAAATAAGGTTTGAAATTAATTTAGTTATATTTTTTTGTTAATTACAGTAATTAATAGAAATACCTGTGTAGTAATAATTAAGATAATGGTAAAAAATAATTTATTTATTATAATTTCATTGTCAGCAACATGATCATTCAGTTTGCATTATAACGAATTATGGCTAATTGATACATCAGATTCCAAATTGTCTAAAGCAGCATTCCAGATTTCAAATGTATTAAAAGTGTGATTATGTTGATGTTACATATATTTGCAACATATATTTTGATTGTATATATATATCGAACTCCCACTGTACAGCTGATAACCTTTTTTTTATTATTACATATATTTACCACCATCACCCACTTGTAGACATATTACTGTGACCCTTGTTTAGAGAAACTAACTATTGATAGCCTGCTTAATAATATTGTCGTTGCTATTGAATGGATAAATAATTATTGCCCATTAAATGGATATGGTTGATAAAAGATTAATAAAGAAAGTAAGTAATATTTTTTCATTTCTGTGTTTTAAATAGTAGGTATAAGACTAATATATAATAGTATAAATTACAGGTTATAATGACGTGACAACTTAGTCTTTCGCAATAACACCACACGAGGGGCACAGTAACATGATCACGTAATGTCCTTGGTATTGTTCATGTATATAAATGGGGGGCTATGAGCCTGATTTTATTTAATCTATTGTAATATCTTTTATTTGTCAAGTCTTTGAATACTACGTTGTAATTTTATATCGCAGTTTTTTATAGCTAGTAGCTATTAAATTAAATTTACACAAAGTTTTATTCAAGTTTATTCCGTAGTGTTTGAATAATGCCTACATAGACAGGCATCTTTTGAAAACTTGTTTTGTAGTCTTACAGTCAAATCTAGAATATCATTACAAGGATTTTTTTGTAATAAATAATTATGATTAAGATTTCAAATCAACATGATTGTATGTGCCGAAAACTGGCGTGAAATCTGTCTATTGCAAAAAGAGTCAGAAGAAGAGTCGATATCGGATCAGAAAACATATAAATTTGTATTTGCGAATAGAACGTCTTCTATTTTATGTGACTTCCATTTAATACTTACAGATATTCAAATTACTTGAAAATATAATCGCCTGATACAGATATACTGTGTAAATAACAATCAATTGGTTTATTAACCCTGTATTTACTGTTATAGTTAGACACTGTTTCTATAATTAGAATCAGATCAGAATGAACACGCGGCAATATATTTTGAGGAAAACAATAAGTTCAAATGCAACTAAAAAATGATCTGTTCTGGAAATAATTAGAGATAAATAAAATAAGAGGTATTTTTTTATTCTTGCTGTTGTGATGTACATAACAATCGACGTGTCTACATGTTGTCGAGCATATTTGATTCCAATGTAAGACATTCCGGATTAGTTTGGTTTCTTGAGTATTTTTCATCACCGGAAAGTCTATTGCAATTTAGAACCTTCAAATGGGGAACCTACCATTGTGATTAATTAAAAGTAATCAAAACACCTATATTATAAATGTACGTATCGTTTCCGTTTTTAATCATTTTAATCTTAAGGTAAAGAATTATTGATATATTATTTACGGCACGTGTTTTTCGGTTGTATTAATCACTGTCACTTTATATACCTAGCATGTACAAACACGACAACCGAGTCCATTGTATTGTATGACGAATCACATGCGATAATTTTATTAATCCGCTCTAAAGGTCTTAAATCGGAAGTGTTTTATAGGTTCCTGTTGATATATTGCATATTATGTACATTATACCTAACCTAATCTTTCTTACAAGTAATTTTAAGTAGTTTGTTTAGATAAAATCTGTAATTATAAATTTTACAGATGTCTACTTTATTTTGAGATGTTTCGAAACGATAACATTTATTAAATTTTATTTACGTATTTGATGTTTTAATCATATTGTATTGAAAATTGTTATAAATATGAATTTAGTGCTTCTTATTATTTCATTCAAATTGTATATATAATAGATATAATAAAGATACATCAAGGTAATTCAAACGTAAATTTAATTTTGTGAAATTGTATAAAAAATTAAGCTATGAGATGTATCATACACATAGTATTGAAATTACTCAAATATATACCTTAATAATGTATCCGTTGATTTTTTTATCTTGTGGGAAGTATTTATTGCAGTGACAGGTCCTTCTGATAAGATACCTGTATCAAAACTAATGAGAACTCCTCCATCCAAATGTATTGATAGATATGTAAGTTATTTATCGACTTATACACTTATATTTATTTATTATTAATACAGGACTTTATCTCTGTATCCAACGGAGGGGCGAATATTTGAAAGGGAAACTTAAAAACATGACACAAGCACATTATCGGAACAGATTCTGACGGATTCTGGAAGTAATCGAACTCATGTGTTTATATAATGTGTCAAGTGTTTATTTTCCAAGAGTTAAAGACTGATCATTCAGGCTGACCATTTTTGTTTTAAATTCTGTTTAACAAGACTGACCCTCAATAGAAGTTATTTATGGAAGATCTTATTTTTATACTACAGCACTAAATGTAGATATTACATTTAAAATACCTAAAAAAAAAAATGTTTGTATCAAATTATCTTAACTTTCACGTAATCTATTGAAATTACTGGTAACTACAATGATTCGCCGAACAAGTATGTCTACGTTTTGAACGGTTAAAGGGATAGTTTTTCAGAGTAATTGAAATAAAAGTTCCGTTTTTATCTTCAATTGATTTTATTATAAACTTGCACGCTTCACATAGTGGATAAGTCTTATACCTCTTTATGACACTAAATAATTTCAATAACATTAAATTCAGTTCTCATTACATACATGTCATAGTTGTGCAACATTTAATATTTGGTATATTGTCCAAGATTAAAATTACGATCTGAGCCTCAGAACTATCTAGAAACACAGTGCATACATACTAAGACAGGTGTAGGCACATTTCATAACTGTTGCTGTTTACCGTGGATTGACATTTTTAAATATACTTGTAACTGACTGTAATTTAAAAGAACATTCAGTAATAAATTAGGTTTTTTTTTAAATTAATATAATGAAAGTTAATGAAGTGTAACAATGAAAGTTTCTACAGTAGTGAACCAATGTAAATAAATCAACTGTTTGAAGTCTATTGCTAGATTGTATTATTATAGATATTTTTGTAATATCATAATTATGATATTACAAAAATATATATTCTAAAGGAATATTATTTCAGTAAGAAAAGAATACAAGTTACAACATTTTATGAGAGCCAAACTTTCCACAATGTTCATACACTCGAGTTGGTTCTTTTTCTCACAGCCCAAAACGTAGGTAACCTTATAAATATTCCTAAAAATAACAATACTAAAGTGTAAGCGTAGATAGTTTTAATTTAAATAACATTTATAACTACCTATCGTTTGTACATCCTATCTAAGAATATTATTAAATAAATAAATTAGTGTAATAATATAAATACATCGCTAAGCGGTGTCCATCTTAAATCTCAAACCACAATTGTTTAATCTGGTAGCTACTACTAGAATTATTACTACATGCTAAAATCATAGAGATAATTAAAAAACAAAATGAAGACTATAATAATTTTCATGATTGCTTTCTAAACGGCAAGGGAACACGTGTATGATGGTAACTTGCTAGGCCGATATATACATTTATGTAAATATAACATATTTTGTAGTAGTACCTACCAGCAAAGTAAGAAATCTCAATAAATTGCAATATTATAACTAGATTGATAAGATCTGTGTGGGATTTCCGGCATAAATAACAATAACTAAATGTTTATCGTAGTTAAATTCGATTATTTTTAGATAATTACTTACAAACTATATAAGAACACCAGAACAATCATCAACGAGCCAGTCAGATAATTCAGTATTTCAGATAATAAGAATTTTATTTATTTATAACTTATTATGTTAAAATGCTTCTCTGTTAACCAATTTCGCTATACGGATCGTGATAAATCAACGTGATGTGATGTGATAAACATTGGGTTTTTTAGGCTTAGGTATATTCTGATTTAACACTGTTTGTTTTTTTAATTTACTAATTTCAGTGCATCATGAACAACACTAACCGCCTTATTCATAAAAAAAGAAAAACCCCCAAAAACTTATTTGACTATTAATATGTTTTGTCACTATCTTTTCAATTATAATTTATACTAGAAAGAGGAATACTATATTTATTAGACCAAAGAATAGTATACCAATAATTATTTAGCGTAAACGTTTCACGTTTTTATAAATAAAGGGGTTAAATGTTTAAATATGCATTATCTATAAGAGGATTCTTTTTGAGATCGTGCGTGAACAAATTATATGCTAGAAGAGGAGATTAGCCGTATAGACGTTCGCTGTCACCACGCCTCCGTGTAGCGAATGTCGTACTCCTGCAGTTGTGGCAGCCTCTGTCGGAGTATCTGGAAAGCTTCGGCCGATAGCTTGGTACTGTTTAGATTTAGCCGTCTAAGATTCGATAAACCTGAAAAGAAAATTATGGAAATTAAATATTGCGTATTATTAGGAAAATATTATTTAAAGGTATGTACGAAATATTTTAAAGGTATATCTTGTGAAGGACTTCTTAATTAGTGAAGAGGGGTATGGTACAGATGTGTAAACTTCTCTATTAAATAATTTGCACATAGATCAACGCTGATTTTTATCCTCCACAAAATGCTCATAATATCTCTAATTATTAATTTTATAATTTATACGACTGGTTTCTCCCTACTGATGACTACGTAGATACCTACGATATTCTAGATGCCGTAATTACCAGTTACAGTTTAACTTATTTTAATAGCATATTGTTTCAGTGTTACTGTTTGTATTTCTGTTTTGTAGTGATATTACCTGATAAAGCCTCGATGCCTTTGTCCGATACAGGCGTCTCGCAGAGATTGAGAACCTGCAGACGTGGTAGGTGCTCCGCGATCAGTTGTACTCCGCTATCGCCGAATTTCGTCGCCCACAGGTTTAAATAACGGAGAGATGGCAACTGAAATTTGAAATCCATTAATGTAATGCCTTTCGCTTTACCTCTAGTCAAGTAGTATATTTTTTATAGGCGTTTATCAGTCAAATTGCCATACGTTTAGCATAGTTGTAAATCAGTTTCAACATTTTTCTAATATTTAATGTATATTGTCCAACCTAAAATTATAATGCAACTGGCATTACAGGTAACAGGTAAATTAATATATATGGGTAGTCACCTTGATGAGATGATGTGCGCAGGCGCTGGTGACGCTGGTGAATGCAAGCGAGAGGCACTCTAGATTACCGAGCGCGCCGGCGTCCAGCAGCGCCGCCACATCCGCGTCCGTCGCGCGCACCGGCAGCGCCAGCCGTCGGGGACCGCCCTCCGCTTGCTGTGGGTAGCATATTATCTATATTAATATATATACTAACGAAAAGTTTGGTTGGTTGAAATCAGTGATAGTCCACGAGACAGTGATAAATTTCTTCAATCATTTCGAAATTAGTGTATAGACTTAAGTGCTGAATAGCTCATTTAGCGAGGAAAGTTATAGGCTATGTATAATAATATAGGTAACCAATATGAATCGAGCAGCAATGAAAAATGTCGCAAAAAGAAGGAAAGAGCGAAAATGTAACGTGGAGGAAGTTGAAGCCTGAATATTATAATCCCATCAAAAACATAAATGTGAAATGATAGTCGAGTTTAATATTATGATATATGCCTTGATTGTTGACTTCTACGACAAAAGAGGTGAGATCTAAATGGGTGCCAAGTTCAACCTAAACAAGCCGTGTCTGTCAAGTTTTTTTAAATATTTTTAACACTATGTTTTCATTAGCATAGCGTTAAAATTAATTTATAAAATATTACAATTATTTTCCGTTCGTTCAGTATCGTGTTCATGCTCGGTAATCACAGAAATGACTTAACTAATTTTAATATCGTTTTTATTGATTTAAAGTGTTTCAGTATTTCTTTCTCTAACAAAAATTGATAAGTTATTGTTATCCAAATACCACTGACACAAAGTCGTGAGCTGAACTAGTTATCTATATTTTGAGCAATAATTATATAACCGGTGATCACTCCATAGTGATCGTTTTTTTTTCGGACTACTATAATATATCATGCTGTTGGCTGCAGCTGGTATTTACAGCTTCATCGGACAATAGGGGGCGAGTGTAAATGGCACTCCAAACCCGAGGAAGGGCCTATGGAGCGGCTGAAGACCAACTCCCGCCTGGCGGATACGATTAGTTTGAAGGCACCGCTAGAGGTTCGAACCTAGGCTCAGGGCGTCGTAATTTCGATCCCCGTTTGAATTGGACGGGGGATCGACCGGGGACCGGGTGTGGAGCGCTGATTGCGTGGTATGGTGTGTTTGAGGTCGTCGTCTTCGCCGGCGAGGACGATGACGTGTGTGTGTGTGTGTGTAAAAGTGTGGTCGGGACGGAATGGGTGGACCCGTAGAGATTAACTACCAGTATGCGGCCGTCGGGATCAAAAAGAGACATAGTGATCATATCTACTTTCTATTATGTAAACGGCTGCGCCCTTCAGTCGTAAAAAACATTATTTCTATCTAAGATTAATGAAGTGGAAACATTTCGTGGTCTGGCACACAAGATAAATAAAAAAAAACGATTACAAATACAAACTAGGCGAAAATATCGCGTACCACATGTAAATACATAATAGAAAAGCTACTGCGATTAAAAACAATTTTTGACCATAAAATCAAAAGAGTGTGTTATTCCTAACTCAAAGAATGGTATATTACATATAGGTATACCTACCTTCTTGGTATATTTATTGTTTATAATTATTATTCATATTTCTACTTAATGCAATGATGGTGTAAAATGCTCACAACAAATTAAATGTCCAAGAATTGGATGTCATATTCCAAGTACGTGTACCTTACTAATTTAGTGTCAACAGTTTTAATCACAAATTACTTGAATTGACGTAGTTATATTGATACTAACATGACTAGGTATTATTGCGTAAACATTTGGTCATAGGTGTGTTTACATGATCATAATTGACTCATAGAACTATAGTAAGTGGGCGGAAACACTGAATTTTATGCTTACCAATCTCTGAAGATTTTGCTGTCTTTCACATAGATCTTTATAATACTTTTGTCCGAGCTCAGTGCCTTGTAATGCTGCTATTATTTCTAATTGTGTTTGTTCTCCACTAGCAACTTCCCATTCTAACATTAGACATAATGATTCCAATGCAGATTCCTGAAATAAAAATAATTGTTAACAAATGTACATTGATCGTTGTTGTACTATTATATTGTAGTGGAATCTGTGATGTACATTTTGGTTCAATACAATTTCAATATGTATAATATTAAAAATTACCCAGATTCAACAATAACCAAACCAATAAGATAATGGTTCTTACATAGATAGGTATTCATAATTCTAGAGATTAATAGATGGCTTACCTAATCAACAGTATTTAGGTGTAATGTTGCCAACATTACACCTAAATATGCACAGATCGCATTTAGACTTCGAGTAGGGTTCATAGGGAATTCTCGAGTCGAGAATTCCCGGGAAATCGTTGGGTTTTGTTCCTGGGAAAACAAGCTCGAGAAATCAAGTACCTATATAGAAATTGAATTGTCGTTTGTTTTGTTGCGTGGCGGCGCAATAATTCAAGATATTAACGTTTTCTTTAATGTAATTTTTTTTTTATTTTACAGAAACTATTTTTATTTACATGTTTAAGGTAATTTTTTCCAATAAATAACCAGCCAAAAATGGTGCTGTCATTATAAATATAAGTCTGAATAATATTAGATCCTAACATATGAAAGTGGTATTTTGTAAGGGAGTAAGTAACCTGAAGTATTTTTTTTTCAAAATATAACAATTTAATTTAATCAATAAAAGTTTTATAATTAATTTTATAGTTAAATTTTATATTTAGTATTTAACAAAAAATGCAGTGGTTTTCCTCTCAAATGAAACCACTGAGTTTTTTGACGTTATTGGAACCAAATAATATGAGAAAACGTACGTAAATGTAAATTTCTCGACAACCCGAGAAGACCCGAGAAATTTACCTCGAGAATTCTCGAGAGCCGAGAAATTGAAAAGCTGGAGAAGTCATGAACCCTAACTTCGAGGTATAAAAATTCTTAATACGGTATAACTTACATGTTCTGTTAACGCAACTATAACGAAATCTGGTAATTGCTTGCTAAGACTCTGAAGAAAACTTTTTCTTTTACAGCAACAATGCAGAAGACTACCGATCTGAAAAATACGAAGATTATATTTTATTGTTAACATCAATTCAATAGTGTATCTAAAAGGAAAATTTGTTTAAAGTCGCCCGAGCGCCTGTGCAAGTAAGGACCTACTTTAGAAATATCATCACATATCACAGATCCTGAAGAGCTCATGGCTTCAGAAAGGGAACACAATATTAGGAATAAAAGTTCATTTCACTATTTATGTCTGTAGGAATTTAATAAGTAGTATCAAATATTCTAAAATCATTATAAGTAGTATCAAAATAAGGAGATTGGATCATTACCATAGAACCCCAAAGCTGACATAATTTTTGCTGTGGTATCGCTAATAAGGGATCCGAAGGCGCCGCAGCTTTAAGCCAGGAAGGTGGCGAGGACCTGGCAGCGCGTGCTGGCGCTACGCATGCGTGGGCGGCGCAACGTTGATCTCGCGACAGTGCGCCTAACACGTTGGCCAGCCTTTGAGCGACCCGCGGGCAGCTCATCGCTCCCACACATAAAGGCACAGGTTGCAGGACAGCACCTACTACAACTAACCAATCTTCATATTCACACCTGTAACCGAGAGACATTTGGCATTATTTTTCAATTTATATTTATGGATTATCGAGGACCCTTCTCTACCTACTTTCCTATGAATGCATGTAGTTCAGTAGGCCCTGCTCGTTTTAATATGAATTGATCTTGGGTTAAATAAGGGAATGATGCCTACGGCCACCTTTTATTATCGCACCACTCGCTATCGACAGAGAATTCACCCCACATGCTGGAACCTGGAACCACGTATGATTGTTTTCCACTATCGTAGTATAAAAAAGGTGATTTTTGAGATTGATTTGTGAGGTGGGATTGGAAGATAGGTTTAGAGCGTGCAGAAGACTGACATTACTTACATGTGTTCTAAAATATCAGCAAAACATAAAACTTCATCTTCCTTGTCGTCACATTGGTGGGGTAGAGTGGAATGGCGGTAATACTCGTCGAGTGCTGCAAGTGCAACTGCAGCAAGGTTGGGAGCGGCGCGCGGGTGCGGGCACGAAGCACGTCCTCCGTGCGTCACCTCCACGAAACGACGCACGAGAGCCGCGCCCGAGTTGTGCGCGCTCAATGCACTACTCCCCATAAAACAAAAACATATACATAAGAAGTTGATATAAGATGATAAAATAGAAAGTAGGGATGATAAAGTACAAACCTTGTATGTATACCTCTATTTGGAGTTAAATTTTGTGATCTGTGGGTTCCATTCGGTATATTAGGTATATACCTACTGATTACAGAAAAGTCAGAATATAACGACTACAAAACAATTAAATATAACCGTCTTATTGTCCCTGGCGCCTTATATTGAAACCCACTGGCTTTTGGTACTATCTATAGTACCTAGATATGTCTTACACTTCAAACACAAATAAACGCAATGCAAAAAAATGTCTATCTATGAAGTTACAGTTTTTTTTATAACTCGTTTCAATTGTTTTCATAATGGTATATAATGTATCTGTAATAAATATTTCCGGTACGAGTCTGTTCATATTCAATTAAATACCGTATGTACCGTACCTATAATAAAGTATTTACCTACTGCAAGAATCTTGTTAAAAAGGATCGACAGTGATGTCAGTAACTAAGTGACCGTTAGACCGTACTATCAAGTTATTATCATGTACACTTTGTACCCTGGGGTTTTACTTAACCTTTCAGTAGTAGAGCGTAACTTCTAACAATCAGTACATAATGATGTTGTGGCAGACGATTGATCCTGCATATTATCAGCAGACCTTAGAGTAAATATTGTGCGTCAATGCATGTTACGTATAGTACCTACCTACTTGATAAAACTGACAGTAACTACACAGCTTCAATGAGATTGCCTTATCAATAGCAATGTGATAAAATAAGAGAGTAGATACGTTATTAACGAATAGGTACTTTGAAACCAGACAAGTACTATATTAGACTAACCAGACAAATATTATATTTTATATAAAAATATACGCTTACGAAATATTACAATCAATACAAAATAAAATTTAAATGCATGTAACGTTTCCAAATAACATATGCGTGCAACTTTTGTAGTAAAAATAAAGCAAAAGCGGCGTTACGTTATGTTAATATTAATAAAACTGCTTTTTTTAATTAAAGTCATACTATATGATGCACGTTTCACCATTATTGTTAACTACTTGCGTACTTGTAAATTCCACAAGGAAAGTTGGAGGGTAAAAAATGTTTATAGGTATGAATTTAAAACCGATCATTGACGTCAATGGAGCAACATTTGGTTAGACTATGACCAAACTAATTAGTGTAATAATATCGAAATGCGACAATGAGGTTAATATGTTCTAATAATCGGTTACACGAGTGGAATAGATTTACAATGTTCTCAGAAATTAGACGTATCAACGTAATAAGATAAAATGTATACTAAGTGTGATGACACGATTTTATTATTTTTGTTATCAACCCGTGTGTACAAATGACAAATAGTTTTATTACTAAATTAGTATCTATATATACCTATATAGCGCACACCTATTTTAATGGTGTATTTTGTAGTTTATATACATAAATGTTGGGTTCTACTAATATATTGTTTTTGCCCTATGTCATAATAACGTTCTCTTAATGTCTAATATTTAAATTTATAATTTTTTGGGATTATCAAACAAATTCACAATGACAACATCCTAACGAGAAAGAAATTTGGAAAGAAAAGCTCAGCACACGACTGTAGGTTTACCTATTAATGGATAGTCCTATGTAGTATTTACATTGAATACATTAACGTATCTTTAATATGTACCAATAGCCCACAAAGTGTATGTTGTTTTGATTATATTGCCATTTAGTTTTAAAGTGTTACGGATTTAGTACTTATTTTATTATCGAGAAAAGTGAAATGTCAAAGTGTTTTAGATAACATACCTGATATAATCTTTGACTAGTTGACGAGCGTTTGGTGCTCTCGCGAAATCCACGTTTCGGGTGAGGACACGGCGGACAGGCGGAGCAAGAGCGGGTAGCGGTGCGGCTCGCGGTCTTCTTCTACATAACCGCGCCAACAAAGCACATAGTTCACCTGATGCACACCGTTCCGCTAAGAGTGGAGCAGCAACGCTTGTTGTATTCTCTGCCCATTCTTCCCAATCAGGGCTTTCTTTCTTCTACCAAATAAAAATAGACTTCATTTAAAATGAATATAAGAGTAGTTTCGATAATATTGCTTTATATTCTTGTTATGTACATACTTATTTACATTATAATGGTTAATATTAAATTTTACGATACTGTTTATATATCGAAGTCCAGTTTTAAACGACTGAAATACGAATATATAAACTTCTGTACCCTATGTTTAATAGAATGAAATTTAGTATCGTCACGATATACATTAATTTTTAATTCCGAGAATATTAAAATTAATGTTATTTCTGTAATTAAACAACGAATTATATGTACATGTGATATAGGTATGTTTAATAATATGTACCAACAATTCTGAAAATTTATCTCGTAATTGATAACAAGAGATTTTTGACAGTATCTTACCTCCGATAATAAATTTGTGAGTATCTGAAGAGGGTCCCTTGTCACACTTTCATCTTGCAACGGAGTTGTCATGACGAAATCCACCATGTTCTACAAAATATCATAATGAATTAGCATACACTATCAAAATGCATCTAGAAACAATCTTGTGATAATATTACAAGAAGGGTTTTAAAACTTTTGAAAATGTCGATAATGTAAAATCAGTGCTAAAGTGTCACTAATAGGCTTTATGACCTAAAAATGGTCCAATGCAGGTAGATATACGACACATAACAATATATGGGGAAGTATTTGTTAGGACAAGATTGTAAATTTTTATTGAATTCGATAAATAGTCTCAAACTAATCAGATAGAAATTGTATTGTGTTAGAATCGAACGTACCACTCGATGGCAAGCAATAGGGTATACGGCGGTGCGGCTGGAGCACCGGGGCCGTTATAATACGAAAACTGTAGTATACCTATTTATCTAGTTAGTAATTCTATCTTTAATTAAACCGATATTTCGTTATTAGTTTTCATACTTTAATTGCTTTTTAAAATTGATCAGATATCGTTTCTATAAAATATACCAACCTTTAATTCTTTCATTACTACTTCCTTCCTTATGGTTTTGGTGAGAAATTTCTTGTATCTAATCATATTTCTCTGTAAATAATTATTTGTATTATTATACCATAATTGTAAATTCCAATTTATATGGAATTAATAAGTAGACAAGGAAAAAATAATGATATTTACCCTCCACACAATAGAATGGTACCATTGGTCCCTGGTATATGCGTCATTTGCCTGCAAATAACAAACAAACATTACGCTTTAGGTAATTAATTAGGTATTTAATATCATAGAGTGATTATCCACCTGTGAATAAATAAGTATACTTAAATAGTAACAAAATTATAAAATTCATAAGTACTTATGTTACTATTACATTCATTTTCAGTTTCAAGAAGATTGTAGCCGATTTTATAACTGATGATTTAATAGCACGTCGCTAGATTATTTACGTATATGCTGTCTAGAGCTTGCTAAAACAAACCCACTCTTAAAACCACAAACATTGATACGTTCACATAAGATACTCAACCGCAGAAATATAAACCAGCGATTGATCCTGATATGTATAGCATTTCAAACAAACCCTATACAACATTACAATTGTTTTTATGTATCTTTATTCTTGTAGGTGTAATTAAAGCAGACTCTTATGATCACAATAAACAGTACGGCAGACAGGCTGTACTGGCACTCTATATACATGAACCGCGCTTCATATAACATTTAACTCTAAAACCATATGATACTCAATCCTCATGCGTTGTCATTCCAGACTAAGTTGTCACCTTTCAACCGAAACCGAGCTTACAAAACAAGCTGCCTGGCGATTGATATATACTATTATATATGATCAAACGATGTGTGTATACAATGTCAAGTCTCGGTAAAACAATGTATGTATGTTTACCATTTATTACCTGCAATAATAGAGATCCAAGAGACATAACTATTCTTAAACAGTATTTCCTCGCTGAATCCCATCGCGATATACAGTACACTTCTTGCATGCAGCTGTATGATAAAGCTTGCTCAAGTAAACCAGAAGGCTGTAACAATTAAAAATAACAAGGATAATAATAATAACCCTGGATAAATCACAGCGTCATTTAGTCACTTGTTATGACTTAGAGAACTGATAGTAATGCTATGTAATATTATGTTATCTGTGGTAATGCTTAAATTATTTTGTAAATACAGACATAATACAAAACAGAAAACACTAAGATTAATACAACAATCATACTCATTAATGCACATGTTTGTATCGTGCGGGAAATCGAATCCGCGTCCATAGAAGGCGGTGTGCTAACTGCGAACCACCGCACAGTAGCGGTAATAAATGCTCATATATGTATAATAATGTATATGTATGTATGATTTTATACTACGATTATACGATCAGCAAGTATTGCAATAAAGTAGTTTTGTTACCAATGGGAAGCACTGAATCGTTCATATACTAATACTCCTCATATTTAAAGTAGATAATATTTAAATCATATTTTTATTTGCGCTAAAACATATACAGATATCTACAGAAATAAAAGTACAAAAATAATGGGAACAGTTACTTTTCATTATTAAAATGTTTAGCGGAATCGAATCTGCTATATTCAGAAGGTAAAAACAGTAAGTTAATAAACTAACCGTTCCTGAACCTAGGTCGACAACCATTCAATTCATAAAAACCTCAGTTGCTAATTCAATAACAACCATTTTTTTTAGTTAGTACCTACAATCAAGTTATGGCGTCACAATAAGTAATTTTTGTTTGTTAAAATAACACAATGCGGTAAAATTCATTAATATAACCACGTAATACACATATATAGACTATTAATACTAAACTGTGCTAACAGGTGCACTCATTCGAAATTGTAGTAATTTAACGCAATTAAATAGCAATTATATATATTTGCCATTGCTTGATGTCAATTTTTAACCGAGGATAAGGAGATTTTCAATTCGTCTGTATTTTTTGTGTTTGTAGCAAGATATCTTTGCAAATTAGGAACAGATTTTGTTGATACTTTTCAATCTAGACGAGATTATTTTTTTTATTTATCCTATAATACAATAACATATTAATCCAAATGGAAGACAGGTTTTTTAAGTTACTATTATATATGATCAAACGAACTTCTAGAATGAAGTTCGATTGAATTGAATAGGTATTATCGAAAATACTTTTTTCAACTAATTTCGTCCGCTATCCTTAAATATACTTCATATACCGCATTTATGCTTAATAATAAATTTAAAACGTATGGCTGTGTATGCTTAGTGTGAAAAATGCGTTCATTGGACTGTTATATAATTAAACAGTTTAGAATAACATACCATAATAAAAAACCAAGGTCAGATTTATCAAGTCGCAAGTTACTGTTTAAAAAAACTGTTGTCTCGGTTCTCTTTGAGGAAAAAGTGCTTTTTTTCATCTAAAGGTTGTGGGTTCAATCAACTTTTTAAACATTATTCTAATGTTTGGTGTTAAAATTTTAATGGAATTCGGAAGTTATGTTTAATAATCCAGCATAACTCACGCAGTACTCATCATCTACTCATCATCTACTCCTCAAAACTCGTAACTAAGGCGTACTTACGCATCGTGGTCATTATGCATACAGTGAGTGCTCTAATTACAATGTCAATGCCAATCATTCACAGTATATTGTTAATGTGAACATTTGTAGGTAAAATATCCTCAATTGCTTTGAATTAGTAAGGGATTTTATCGAATTATTTAAGCCTATTATTATAAAGAATCCGTATCACGTGTGTATTACTTTATCAAAAAAATGCTTAACGGCATATAAAATATACACCTAACTACGTCAGAAGACTAAGGTATGTTATTTCTGTTTGCAGATTCCGGGTTGTATTTGCCTTAAATATAAATACCTATATGTTGTATTACAACTTGTTATTTTCATTCAAAGTTTACTGTCTTACAGTCTAATAGATATCTATAGATAGATACAAACTGAGAGAAGTGATTAAAACGCTCGGTGAAAAATTAAAATCCACTACTCTAAATAGTTATAGACCAGGCACGGACCAGACTTAAAAAAATATTATAGTAACAGCAAACATTAGCTAAAAGACTGAACTATTAATGACGAAACGATCATGATAAGAGTCACTGACGACTGATATTATATATTTGTTTCTCCCTCACGTACGTTTGCGTCATAATAGTATACATAAATAACGAGCTAGATCTCCTAAACACCATATGCACGAGGATGTGAGCCTCAAACATCTTTGTATATACAAATTTAGGAGATATAACCAGAATAATCTATCCTGTGCAATTGAAGCACGAAACAAACATTTTTACACTGCGTATAGTAGAAAATTGTCCGCTGTAGCTACGCTGACCGAGTGTCAGTGATACTTGTAAAAAACCGTTTACGTTATGTTTCGATCTCAATTAGAATTGTGGGCATGCCCACCGTGCCCACAACGGTATATACGCGCCTGGTATAGACTTACACGTGGCAAAAAACAAAGTGAAAAAAACCGAAATATGGAATGATATGACATGCTAACTACGTGCGTAAGTCGCTGTTACGTATTATTTATTACTTCAATATTGGTGACTATTCAACACCAGTTCGTAAAGGTCGCGTGACGCATATAAACGATTTAACTGTCATGTAAGAAATTAATAAACTATAACGCTGTTTGTGGCCAATATCATCAACTCTTTATGACCTTTGCGATACTAACAGTCGCTCCCGGAACCCGCATCTAAATATTTATTTACTTATTCTTCTTTATTGAATAAAAAACTTTTGTTCAACAGGAAGCTTAAAACCGTATGACATTCTAGCCCAGCTAACCTTTGTGGGGTAATAGCGAAAATTTAAACAATATTATCCATACATCTTATTCATCAATCATCAAACTTTTCCTTTGCCGATTTTCTGTCATGTGCTTCAATAAGGACGACTTGGTTGTGTTTTTCGTATGTGTATTCGTAAGCATGTGATAGGTGAACGATAGTCAAAGTTAGTTCCAATGTTAAAATTTTCTAAATATTGAAATAATTTTATTGATTTGTTATTGTAATTACTTTTACTACTACTTACAGTACATATTCCAAATTTTAATAGCTGCTAATTAATAATAAAATTCATCTGCTCAGCAGTATGTTTACTAAACTACTTTGACTGAAACTACATTTCTTTCTTTCATTTCCATTTACACCGATGATTAATATTATATGAACATAATTATTATGAAACCTATTGCTAAACCTGTTATTAATTCTGTTCAGTTGTTTCGACTATTGACACGTTTTAAATGTAGCTATAGCTATAATTACAGAATATTGTAAGTGTTTTCTCCAGTGAATATAACGAAAAACAACTAACTTTGCATGAGAAAAACAAATAACTTGTAATAAATACTTTTACCAAGTTGTCCATCCATCCATAACAAGCCATTAACTCTACAGTATGAGTACACGGGCCTCTCCCCTTATAAAAGAAAAATATTAACCTATTATTGCAACAATGCCTAGGTGTATTGGTATAGTTATTCTCATCTGTATATAGGTAATTTAATTTTTTTTTTATTAATAGTGAAACCAATATTTTAATGTGAAATTATAATTATATTAGTGTCATATTTTTAAAAAAAGTTTAGAGGGCTACGGTATGTTGTCTGTTACAAAATTGAAATAACGACTTAAATATTCAGAACCAAAAGTTGTTAGACTGCCTATGAAGTACTCTATGTATTTCATCCACTAATCTTAATATTTAAAAAGAAATTTATCAATCTATTCGTAGTGTGTGCGGTAACAATAGGATCTCTGGATATATTTTATTAACATAATTTATATTTAGATCATTTATAGTCATAATATAAATATTGTGAACGCAGTTAAGTGGACGAGAGAGCAGCAGTTCCTTGATACCAACGACCTTTGACTTTGCAGTGCCACTGTGACGACATTTCAGACTGCTTGATCTATGACGCACGATTTATTACAAAAATAATACTTAAATAGGTATTAACCGTAAAATGTAATGTAAGACGTCTAAAAATGAAATACGCGACAATATATCATTATATTTATAAACAGATTAACAAGAAGTAATTACTAATTAATATAATTAAATACCTGGTAATATATATTAATAATAATATATATCATGAAATGTAAGTAAATTAGACATATGTAAGTTATATGGAACAACGTTAGTATTACAAAGAAATAATCGTAATAATAATCTATAATTCGAAAATAGTTTCACCTGTAATAATTTAACAAGGTACTGTAACGAGTCTTCCAAAGTTATTTTTACAAATAATTATAAAACTCAGCTCAAAATTCTATTTGTGCAAATATTTTCACTTTTATTGTATATATTTCTCAATTGATTAATACAAATTCTGCGTATCTGAAACTCCACTGTGGGTAAAAAATGAAACGCAAAAGGAATAGATATATAAGGAAAAAAAGTATCATAAAGAGGAAAGGAAAATATTAATTTATTGTAATGATTGTAAAAATAGTACAAATGCTTGCTGGCTTGCTTAAATCATTATAACTTAGACAGTCCAAAATTAAATCCAAAGTTCACTTCTGAATCTGTAATAGTCGCAGTCGTTCTCAGATTCTAACTGTGGCGTTATCAGCATTAGGTAGGTATATATGACGTCAAAGGAGAATTGTTTTGAAGGCCAAGATCCGTTTATGCAGGTAAATGTAAACGTTAATGTTTTCTTTCTTGTGCGATTGATTATAATGCAAGTAAAGTGAACAACATCTGACAACAAAAAGATATTTTTGGGACGGCGCGGAATGAATAACTTTCAACAGTAGGGTTGTCAATTTGGGTTACAACAGTAATCTTATTTTAAAGAGTATATACTCTTAATATTGCCATGTTGGTATGTAATAAATAACTATCACAAACCAATGATAATCTCTAAAATTTACAACATTATTATATTTTAGTTTACGAAAAGAATATACCTAATAATAATAAAAAATATATGTCATTAATGAGAGCATAATACTACTAAAATCTGATGTATCTGTTAAAATGAAAGTTTTACCATATTTATTTAACGTAATGTCGTAAAGAATAAATAATATGTACTAAGCCGAAAGCATAAAATAAAACACTCACGAAAATAAACCACTTTTACCAAGAAACAAAGTTTAATTCCAAAATAATTATGTACTTTTGTAATACGATTTAATAAAATTTAAATCACGTGACCGTTTGTATAAAGTATTTATTTTAAACCTATTTTCAATTTTCCTCTTTACATCTTGAAGAAATTTATTAAGTTTCATGAATAGTTTCACAGGCTTTCCCTTTACGACAGACCCTATATTCGTCATGTCATGTGTCATGTACCTAGCGATAAATCTGAAATAATTGTGATTTTCGAAAAATGCAATATACTTCCGCGGGGATATGCACAATAGTACCTAATGAAAATTGGAAACAATTGGATACATTTACTTGCATTAACGAATAGAGAACCACTTGCAACGTATACATACACACAAGTACATTTTAATATATGTCTATTTTAATTTAAGAGACCAAAATGCAACAATTATTTAGTTTGTGCACTAAATTAACTGCAAGTGTACTTGCTGGTATAATAAAAGTATCTTTGTTAAATGTATGATCGATTTCTGATCCGAATACTCATATACCTATAATATACCTATAATAAGTAACTCATATACCTGTAATAAGTATTCACATCAAAAATCGATCATGTGTACGTAAGTCTGTAAGGCGGATAATATTTTATACGTACAATGAATAATTTATATTTATGCATGGCGTCGCATAACTACATTATAAAACTATGCTAATAAAAAGCAGTGACGCACGAATCCTCTTATCTCTGATTGACCTCGTTATAGAGTTCATGATAAAATAAAATTAAAATAACGAAGACTAATTTGGATAAATATAAACTACATATCATTGTGTTTGCGTTTACAAAGGAAGTAGATTATAGATTAGATTATAAAAGATAATGCTCTGTCTATTCAAGACGTATATAGTAGAAAAGTTATATACAGATTCAATATTTTTTTTCCAAAAACCGACTTCAAATGAACAAAATAATATGTGAGAAATATAGAAAGAAATCTGTTTGAAAAAAGGATCATCAACACCAGTTTTCTACTGTAAAGTGCGCTGTATGTTTGTACAGCGCACTTTACATTTATAAACAATCGAATTAAATACCCGAATAAATACTAAGGCAATTCTTGCATATTTCATTTTGCAGAAATGTGTAAAATGTGAATAGTGTGAATTATCCTGGTTTAATAATATTATTAGTTATATTATTATATGTGCTTACATGTCTATTATACGTACTTTTAAAATTTAGTTTTATAATCATTTTAATGGTTACATTTTTAGTGCTAACAATTATAGTACGTGTACGTAATCCGTATTTTTAAACAACATAAAATAAAATTAGCATAAGGAATTAAATGCATAAAATATGATAAGTTAGGTAAAAAGCTCCTGTACCCAGTTTATTATACAATATTAAGTATGATAACCTAATACGAACTCACAATATGTACGTAATGCAAATTTCATTTGATTGGAGTTAGAAATATATTTCATGATTGACATGACTTTCAACTTAGTTTTACCTAATTTCTGTTTACGTTAATTAGTAAATAATGTAGTATTTTTTTGTGAAAAAAATTTGTTAATTGCTAGAATAAAAAATTATTACGTGGTAAATATTTTTTTTCATTATATCAAAAATTCATATTTGTAACATTAATAGATATGCAGGGTTAAAGTGACCTGTCTTAACTGGGTATATAACTATAACGGTTAAAAAATAATAGTACATTCGACTTAATGCGTCATTGTTCATTAAAATCTTATCAGTTATCAGATTAATAGTATGCGTGAGTTATTGATAGGAATCATGAAAACAGACCATCTGGCACGTAGGTTAGGTTAAGCTTAATATGTATATATATATACCTATACTTGATTTACCTAACCGGCGCGACTGTTCATGGTACAATAATTTAGCGCAAAGATAAACATTGAAGAGACATTTTTCAATTTATATTCATAACTTATAATTATCATAATTGAATTTATTCAGGCTAAAATAGTTCGATGCTAAGACAAGAATTACGGACTGACAGCTTTTGCTGTTTACCTACTTGTATATTCATAACTTATATTTGTCATTGAATAAGTTCATGGTTAAATAATTTAATATTAGACAGACATATTTGACTATTTACATTAGTTATTATTATCGTTAATCATTGACTATGTTACAAATAAAAATAATTTTTCAATGTGTCTTCTAAAAATAGCAATTTATTTAGTTATTTACTTTCTGTAACTTCTGAATATTTTAATGCTAAATTAATGAAACAGAATAAATTTCAATTACAAGGCCACAATATAGGTATTTGTAGTATAACTAGTGCCGCCCGCAACTTTTTTCGGGATACGTCTGATTCGTAAAGTAAGTTAGGGTCAATATATATAAATTATAAATCTGTTTGTAGTTCTTCCTCTGGAACAACCACAAGATTAGTTTTCCCTACCCCTGAAAACCCTTAACAAAATTTTTTTTTAAGTACCTACGGAAGTTATCTTTTGAAATTTCAACTGCATAACTCTACACAATCTACATTTAAAATATTTTTTTTAGAATCTAGGGAATATTAGTAATCGAAAAAAATTAAATGAATTTTTTGGGGGTGGATTTTTATATCAATCTTACAGTAGAGAATATAAAATTTTATAAAACAGTAGGTAAATGTAGTCAATAATTTAAGGCTTCATGTTATAACCATATGTCTAAAATAATTGACCACTGACAGCATTCCTATCTGATGAGCGTAAATAAAATGTATCAACAATTTATGAAAAATTCTATACAATTACAACGGCAAGTGATGAGTAATCGAATTGACGTATATTTATACAGATGTTATGAAGATTACAGGCTATTTAAATATATTCAATTGTCAGTGAAAGCATTTTGTGTGATCATAAAATATTTCTGAAATTTCAACAAGATGTTACCGTACCACCTAAATAGGAATTACGTTTTTAATAGATAAATAATTATTTACGAATTTATTTATTATACCCAGCGACTTGTACGTGTGTGTACTTAAGCTATAAAAATAATATTAATAAATTTATCGCCGAAAGTTTGTAATTATAGATGAATTATTCATTTCATAAATGATCACGTAAAGTCGTGGTCGCTTACTATAGACACAATTCATCCCACACAATATTAATTATGCACAAACCTAACTGTATAATTTTTGAGGTAAATGTTTAACTTTAAATAAGAGCCTCCACTAATGTGATCATTACCTTACAAGCTCGCAATCCCTACGTTATAATGATGTGTATGATATGAGTGACGTAGACAAATGACTCCAAGTCATTGTTTTCTGAAGAAACGATAATAACATGCCTAAAATAATAGATAGGTAAGCATCTAAATTATTCGAAGCATATTATTTATATGTATACTTTTGTAAACAGGAAAATTCTGCAAGCCAATATTTTTTTATTTATATAGATAAGCTTACATTCACTTACCGTTTTAGAAACTATGTATTCTTCTTGTAAGCAGAGTACATGCGTCTCCCATCTCCTAAGAAACTTAGCAGCCAAGATTTTGACAACCACTGTTCTCGTGTGTTGAAAGCAGCATACCCTCAGGGTGCCCTCTGTCGCTAGTTTATATCGAGGGCCTGGAGGAGGGACTGGCGCCCCTGGTGTATTTTCTAAACCCACACTATCTGTACAGCATTCTGGACTCGAACCCTGTAAAATAGAATTGATTTAATAAATGGGCCGTAATTTTAACTCTAAAATTTCTAGTCTAAATGTCTCATCCAAATTATCCTCAATGGAATTTAGAATGTCAATTTCAGAAAATTGTGTTATAAATTAATAGATTGTACATTAAACACTATAATTTTATTTGCAGTTAGCTTACTCACAGTAGGTTAAACTAAGTTTATAACAGAAATTAATCGCATTTCCATCAACGTTTTCGTATTTGTCATTATATTGCAGAACCCTTTTGCATATAATTTATTATTAAATACTTTATATTGGTTTTAAATACTTGTAATGTACGATATTTTTACTTTGCAAAATCATTTTACGTCTAAAACTACAAAACAAAGAGAATTTTAGAGAAACCTTTTTTTGTAAGTCACGTAACATGATAATTTTGTATTTAATCATTAAAGTTTCATTCAAAAAATCATAAAATTTTGGCATAATGGTTGGTTAAGTTAATAAACTATGTCTTTTCACATACATTATCCAAATGTTTATGTATCTCAATATTGACAACCTTTGCTACCTAAATTTTATAGTCGTAAAAAATATATTATTTTTATTAAAACCTATGTCCATATCATGTAATTATGTTCACTTGAGATGTCAGTCAATATTGACAAAATGTATCCTATTTAAAGAAAAATAATAAATTAGACATGTTAATTAACTGCAAGATACGTCTGAGCCGATGCTTGCATCAATTGATTAACGTTACCACTTTAATTAACGTCTAACAATTAACGTTTACTACTAGTTTGACGTCAGTTACGACCTTGTACTTTAAGTTTACAAATAATGTTATTTAAAATAGATAACAATTTAAAGGTCTGTGTAAGACATATATAAATTAGATAATTGCTTTCTAATTAAGAATTTCACCCAAATAGTCAACTTTTGCATGCATAGTTAAATTGGAGACGGTTTTTTAATTGGATTACTGCCAGATGGCAAATATACGACATAAACAAGCAATAAGACAAATCAACTTAATGATTTGATTCGTTTTGTTACTTGCCTATGTCGATTTCTGACTTCTAAAGGATATCTGCATTACATTAAGATTAAGACCTAATAAATATAGAAGATTATACATTTTTGGTATCACACATGAAAACTGATTTCATCAAAACGAACCAGTACAACTATCTATCTACATTTGACCAGAACACATAGGCAGTTGGTTATTTATAATAAAAAAGCAGCGGGTAAAAAAATATAAAATTAAACTAACAAAGGGAATGTAAGTTACATAAACACCTATGTGTTTTTAAAATTCCTTTAAGGAAACATTCATCTTAGGAAAAGCAGCCACTTCAGCCATATCAGATCAGCGAAGTTTTAATTGTAAATAAAATTCTAAGACAGAATTGATCTATAGCAATAACTCATAAGCAACCCCTATTCTTTGCAATAAAATTATAAGAAGAAATGGCGACGATATAGCAAAACACATAGGTAGAGTAAAAGTCAATCCACTTTGTTAAGTCGTATTACCTACATTAAGTTTCATATAAAGACAAAAACGAGAGTACTTAAAACACATTATAACGTAGCTTAAATTTTAAGACTGGCTTCAAAAATTAAATTTATATAGTTTTAGTGTAGTTTAGATAAGAGAAAATGCTGGAATTGTACATAGTAAATGCATTTATCGTGCGTAAATACATGGTATATAAAAAATATTATCTACTACTACTATTTAGTAAACTTATGTTTCAGAGGAGATCACTAAATGGGCAAACTCAATTGTCAATCTTTTATTCATTGGAATCTTTTTGTCACTTATATACGTCAACATTTTATTTTCGATCTCATTGGTAGCAATAGGACTACCAATCCCTATTACTAATACTCCCCTCTTAGGGTTAGTGTATATAAACCTTATGTAGTTGTTACATAGGTAAACAGAGCTGTAACATTTATATACTTCTATAAAGCACCATGGATGTGTGCTCTCGGGAGAAAGTAGGCACATGCCTACGATTCCTATTTTGTTTGAATTGACGTCACACTTGATGATAATCAGCATTCATTCTCATTTTTTACATGGCTCGATGAAGTAAGTATTGCCAACATTTCACATGTTACTAGTTCCTTAGGCATGGATCGATAAATATTAGAATAATTAGTATTATCGATGTGAAATCAAATGCCTGGGTGCCTGGCCATATGCTGTTGTCGCAAGCTACGCTATGACCCACATAGTGGTCGGTGTTCTGTGACGTCACTACGAAAATTTGGGTCATGAGGGCGCGCTCTCGAGGCACTGAGACGCCAAACGCGGCCGGCTAGAGGAGATCGACCCGAATAGGTAACAAACACAGTAGGTACATAGTACAGTTTGCATTCCTAACACAAATCACGAATTAAACATTTATGACGTTTGCAAGGCGAATGGGCTAACGTAATCGTAAATAAACTGTGTATTACTATTACATTTTCTTAGTAAAGAAAAATGAAAACATGTTTACTTCGGACGATGTTAATTTCGTTTTATGACAGCAACCTGAAGAGTTTCCATTCATCCATTTAAATAGAACAATAAATTCAATATACTTCAATATTCACATCGAACATTAGAACATTCTTTGTTGTTAACTGTGGTTAATGGATAATAACATTTTATAGGTATTATAAGAACCATAATGATTTACTAAAAATAACCTTGACTATTAAGGAAGTAGATTAAAACTAATTACTTTTGAAATGTAAATAAAATTAATAAAAGACAAAGTAATTCATGTACAAACATGGTGTAAATTATGTACCTATTGTGTTAGTAGTTAGTACAAGCGCTGGTGAAGACCATTTTATTAAAATGTCCTGAAACCCATGCAAAACATTAAGTGGAATAAGACGTCACGGTTCGAGGAAAAGATCTTAACTTTTACTTATAATGAAAACGGAGGCATAGGTATATCTTACAAGTATTTTGAAGACAATCATGTTTATATGTATGTAAAGATATCAATGTTTTATGACACTGTATCTTAATAATAAAATCTGTAAAGTACCTATACAACTTAGCACGGTGGGGGGAGGGGGATGTCTTACTAATCGTACGGTCATGTTTCATCTTTATCATTCTGTTTACATTTAAACATAAATGATAAAAAGTCAGTGGCTCAGTGCTAAGCAGAACAATGAATCACAAAATAATGTGCTATCAAAATACCTACTTTATCATTAGTCAATTAAGCTTAAATATTTCATAACAACTCCGTTAATAATTTTATATGTTCCTCTATCTGTGTATTAAAGTAACAAGGTAAATATCATTTGAAGGTATTAAATTATTGTAAACATTGAAGTCAATGAATCATATAATAGTATAGGTACTTCCTTGCTCCAAAAGTATCATTTTAGTTGTATTGAATAATGTAACATGTTTTGGGAAGATATTGTGGACAACTACGGATGGTAACTAAATTATATGGTTATTTTGATAATGTATGTAAAATTGAATTTATGTCCCCTAAGACAATAACACTAACCATTCTGGTGGTCAAATTGTGGCTAATATGGAGCTAACTTGATTATATAGGTGATAGAATATTTACCTATTATTTACAGGTGATGTTTATTTACTTTAATCATATCTACTATCACTGCGGATAACAAACGCATAAAATAAATATTGATTGCTATACGCTGAACAATAAAATCTTCTTTCTTAATATGGCAGTGCATTACCCGTTTAGATTTACTCTTCACTCATTCCAATTCGCAACATTAGGGTTTGTATTCTATTGTTTTATAGTGTCTACACATTTAAATGGAATACTTCTGTATTGTACGAGTAGCTACATCATTACGAGTGCCAATAAGAATACAAGTTGAATAAATTATATGTTTAAATTGTCTTTTTAACTTCGTAACTATTATAATTACAAAAGAAATATTCGATAAGTACATATAAGCATAAGTACATAAAAGATAAACTAAATTAACCGAAATGATAATATGATAATGTATATAATAGTAATAACCCACCTATTCACAAAGCACCATCTAGTACCAAATTAAGCAGAGTTTGTAGTACTAAATACAATTTATAAATGTATGATGTACATTGAAAACACCCAAACAATCATACGTAAATACAAATCGGATCATTGGAAGCAAGGCGATTATAATATAAACACACTCTTATAGGATTCAAACAATGTGATTAGAGAAATAGAAATAATCTTTATTCAAATAAACTTAATATAAGCAATTTTGAATAGTCAAGTTTTTTTATTCTACCGCTTATTGGGAATGTAGATTCATCACAAGAAGAATAAGCAAGAAACTTGTGTGTTGCTCTTTTAAATAAATATTGATTTACTTATATTTAATTAACAACAAGGATTAGGCATGCGACAATCAACATAGAAACCGCTACGCACTTAATCTCTGTTCAATCAGATAACATTGTCAGCGCTATGAATTTTAAGTTAGATATTTTCTACAAAAACATTATTATCATTTATAAATTCTTCAATTTTATAATAAGCTTTTTTATAAAGAAAATATTTTATGACACATTTGAATTTTTTTTCTGGCAAGAGGTAAGTGGTAGCCTATAATAATCTGTATAAAAGAAAAACTGTGCTTAGTTGTTTCATTATAGGGTATATGAAGCAAGAAGAATTAACAATTTAATATACTTTAGTTAGAGTAAACGTTTGAGAGGAAATCATAATCCAGTAGTAATCAGCCTATTATAAACCACTTTTTAAAAGTTACGGGTAATAACCACTTATTATAGTGGTTATTACCCGTAACTTCGTCTGTTTCTTGAGGATAAAACATACCCTATATATGTTCTCCTGATACAATCTATCTTTGTGTCAAACCTAAAGATTAGTTCAAATGTTTAATCGTGAACGGTAACATTAACATACTCTGTTTTTTTACATCAACGGTAGCATATGTCCGTACTCTAGATACAAATTACAATTTATTTTGTCAAATCTTAATCCGTTCCG